CATGTATTTTTATCCCTGTGATAATTATGGAAACTCCACGACACTCTTCCTCTAGTATGATGTCAAATACAGTGGGATCCACAAACGCAGTGCCAGTGTACTAGCAGTAGTACTTCACTAGTACTAGTAGTAGGAGGATTGATTGTATGCCGATGACAAGAAAAAGCTTCTCAAGCTGTTGTTTGCACAAACGATCTTATTCCTCGTACAGGTGGAATCCTGGACCGATTTCTGTCAATACGATTCCCACATAAAAATTTCTGATAATTTGAACCTCAAACAGAACATGTCCGGTTAATTCGAAGTTCCACGGATTCCACTAAATAGAAAATGTGTGGGACTTGTGCTGATATTTCGAAGTTAGCAAAGTGTAATTCGAAGTTCACTGTAGACTGTACTGGTCAGTTCAGTTTGCATGAGCAGGCTGTGCTAGCCAGTTCAGTATCCGTTAAATCTGTGTCTAAGGTCCATAGCGCAACTCTGCGTGACCATGAGAGCATTTTGACATACAAATTGTGTTGTGGGTTCATGTTGGATAATTGGAATGTCCGGATATTTAGAAGCTTTTTCCTGGCATTTGGAGGTTCGAATTACCAGGATTCCACCTGTATTACTAATAGATAATTGTCCCCACCGTCACCTGTTTACAGGTCTTTGAGTGGATGGATTTTCATTGAGCATCACATTCGTTGAGAACTTGGTAGTTGTGTGCTCCCATTCATCATTACGGTAATAAGCGTATCCTTGTCCTATCTATTTGTTGCAGGTGTGCTGATCTTCAGAAGCTTGCGGAATTGAGTGCTGCTGAACATTGGCATGGCCATGATCAATGGTGATGCTTGCACTCTCAGCATGTGCTAGTAGTATGCTGACTACTGCACTTTGTAACTCTCTTACACTAATACATGTATGTAAACGTGCGTGCACCCGTCCACGTATGCATTCGTTTCGTATATTTATTTGTTATCCCTCTTGACTTTACTTGTCCGGTCACTGAGAGCCAGGGACGCGACACATGCATTCCCCCGATACACTTCGCATCCGCACCGTCTTGGGAGCAGTGTATCGGCCAGGGTCCTGTGCCCCTGGCGATCTTACCTTAATCGATCATCTCGACAACATCCTCCCAGAAGCTAGACACCAGGGCTCCCACATTATCCTAGCTGGCGATTTCAACGTGCACAACCGGGCTTGGCTGAACAGCTCGAAATCTACGCCTGCAGGCGAGGCTCTCGAAGATACCTGCGCTGCCCATCTTCTTGTCCAGCATGTCACAGTACCGACTCGTGGAGACAACCCGCTAGATCTCATAATGTCAACGTTCACGTCCCCAGTAACTACACGTATACTTCCGCCCCTCGGTCGATCTGACCATGCAGTTGTACTGTCAGACTTTTCTTCCGTGCTCCCTAGACGTGAACCCCCTGTTAAGCGAACAGTATTTCGCTACAACAGGGCAGACTGGGATCGCCTTAGGGCGCACCTTCGCAACGTGGAATGGGGTGATATCATCACGGAGGACCCAGAAACTTCCTGTGAGCAGGTTACCGCTTCGATTACTGCAGCTGTTGCACAGTTTGTCCCATCCAAAGTTCTGGAAACGAGGCCTTCCGATCCGGTATGGTGGACGCCTGAATGCACCCAGACCGAGAGGGAGAAGGAGAAGCGCTGGCGCGACTGGAGAAAACACCCTTATGACCCAGCACTTCAGCAGGCATTCACCGATTCCGTGACTGTAGCGATCGCCACCCAGTTTCGATCACGACGTGCAAAGGAGGACAGCCTCCGTCGCAGCCTCTCAACTGGGTCCCTCAGAGACAAACAGTGGTGGACGAAGTTGAAGAACGCTGCTGGCAACCGCACACAGCCCAAAATTCCCCTAGTTGTCGACTCTGACGGCCGTGAGTGGGCAACGAGCTCAGAGAAAGCAGAGGCATTCGCTCGCTTCTTCTCGAAGAAATGTAGCGTTGCAGGTCCGGACCTTGTGGAAGCTGACCTACCGGACCCTGCTCCCTCAGAGGCTCCACCTCTTCGATCCATCCGCTTCCGCCCACAGGCTGTCCGCCGCCTCCTGGCAAGGCTCGACGTCTCCAAGGCTACCGGGCCTGACGGTATTTCTGCTCGCGTCCTTAAGGAATGTGCTCATGAGCTCGCAGAGCCACTGTCCAAGTTATTTGCTTTATGCTTCCGGTCTGGAGTGCAACCTAGGATGTGGAAGACGGCCAACGTGGTTCCGATCCACAAGCGATCTTCCCGCTCAACCCATAAGAACTACAGGCCCGTATCTTTACTGTGCATAATCTCGAAAGTAATGGAAACTCTTGTAAACAGACACATCGTAAACTATTTTGAAGACCGTCATCTGCTCACGTCGCACCAGTTTGGATTTCGCAGAGGCCTCGGAACATCGGACGCTTTGCAAGCTCTCCAAACTGCCTGGGCAAGCGCTGTGGGCTGTGGAGGGGCGGCTCGTATCCTTGCTGTGGACATCGCAGGAGCGTTTGATCGTGTCTCGCATGTCGGCCTCCTCCACAAGGTACGTAGCCTAGGCATAGATGGTCCGCTTTAGAGATGGCTGGCGTCATACCTGGACACCCGTTCCCTACAGTGCCTCGTTGGAGGGCGGACGTCATCTAGGTATACGACCTCCGCTGGAGTCCCCCAGGGAAGCATCCTTGGACCAACACTTTTCCTGGCCTACGTCAACGACGCGCCAGATGTTCTCGCTGACGGCGCCAGCTTGGAAGCCTATGCTGATGACACAACTTTGTACAGCTTAGTCACCTCCCAGCAGACCCCAACAGTGGCCGCGCAGTCACTGCAGGTGTCCGTTGACCGACTGCACGAGTGGGGTCGTACATGGAAAGTGATGTTTGAACCGACCAAATCCCAGGCCATGACAGCCACCCTCAGACGTACCGGCTTAGATCTCCCCCCACTCCTGTTTGGTGGCACACTGGTGCCCGAGACAACCACCATCACCCTCCTTGGTGTGAAGGTGGACGCCAAGTTGACCTTCAGCGATCACCTACGCTCCGTAGCCACCCGTGCACGCCAACAGCTTGGGGTCCTAAACAGAGCCGCCCACATACTCACCCCCGCCGGCCGGACGACCGTATACAAGGCGTTCGTACGACCATTCATGGAGTATGCGCCTCTTGTATGGATGGGAGCTGCGCAGAGCCACCTCCAGCGTCTGAACAATGTTCAGCGCCGCGCGCTTCATGCTATCGGCCCTGGGGCACACCTACCCAGCCTGGCCATCCGCCGCACTGTTGCCTCGCTTGCCTGCCTGTACAAGCTGCACTACTTGCCTGGTCCTCCGCAGCTGCTCTCTGTGTTGCCACCGCGCCACATCATCTCTACAAACCCCAGAACTCGCAGCGAGCACGGTGCTGTCAGTGGCCATGACCACCAGCTCCAACACCAGCTGCCTGCATCTGCCCCGCTGGCACTGAAGCGCTCGTTCCCACACTGCAGCATCAGCGATTGGAACTCCCTCCCTGCCGCTCTCCTATCCCAGCCTCCCCACAGCAAGAGAATGCAATCATTCAAAACGAATGTTTACCGCCATCTTCGCAGCACAAACTGGCTCTGGGCAGTCGATTCCCTATGAATAGTATGACGCTAAGACAGTTTCTCCCCCACAATCGCTCGTGTTAAGCCTTGGGTTTTTGCATCTTTCTTACCTGTACAGCTCTATCTTCTTCTTTTTTCATTGTTTTTGGTGCGTGTTTTTGGCCGTGACGCCGAGACCTCAGGTCGGCAGAGTCATCAATGCCCCACCATCACTGCTGCGTCTCGGTGCAGCGCCTGCTCATTAGTTGTCACGTTTGTCCTAGTCTCCGTACCATTGTCTTTCCTTATTCTTTTCGAGCTGGTTATGTGAATATAGTAAAAAAAAAAAAAAAAAAAAAATACATGTACGTACTCATTCTCTTGATGGTACGGTACTCTTGATGGTACGGGACAGATACGGGATAACGCCAGGCATGCCAATGGCACAAACAAACAAATAAATAAACACCAAATTAAACCTGCGTGGACCCTGGCTAGCGCCAGACGTTACTGAAGTAACGTCTTCTGCATAGCTACGGGAATAAAAAATACTATGCAGCAGTGTGTTTAAACAATCGACGAGGAGACAATGGTCGTAAAATGGCAATAAATAAGATAAATTGTGCACTCATAACAACAGCAAAATGAAGAAAGTCAAGTTCCATAACGTTTTCTTGTGACTGTCACCAGTGGAACGCCGTCACATAAAATGTAATAACTAAAACACACACTTATATACATGTAGCTAATATGGTTTCAGGTAGAAATACAGCAGCTCACATGTACAAAAAGCGAAGTTTGCACCTTTGCAATGTGTGAATATAGTGTATGTGAGAAAGGTAGTGGCAGATGAATGTGATACTGTGTGAATGAATGTAATGGTGCGTGTGTATTACTTGAAGAGTGTGAGTGATACAACGTTTTCTTTCTGTTTACATAGCACATGTATATAAGTGTGTGTTTTAGTTATTACATTTTTATGTGACGGCATTCCACTGATGACAGTCACAAGAAAACGTTATGGAACTTGACTTTCTTCATTTTTGCTTTTGTTATGAGTGCACAATTTATCTTATTTATTGCCATTTTATGCAGCAGTGTATTTTATGTTTGTTGTGGTTGTTACTATAATCTGGGGATAGGCAGTGAAATGAAAGAAAAATTCGAATTGAGCACACCAGTACGATCACAAAAGTTTATGTTGACGGCGGTCATAGCTGCTGAGTGGTTGACGCACATGGCAACAGTAGTAACGCCCTTTTATAACCATGGCAATTCTCTACCGTGAAAGCACAAGCGTAAGGAATGCTTTTAAACTCTCCGCATGCCCTGCCTAGCATTATACAGAAAGCACAGGTGTTGTCATCTTGATCCCAGCAGATCTTTAATTAACAAGTGTTGTAAGGTTTCGTGCAATGTACCATTATGATAATGCAACTTACAAGAAATTAAGTGCTGAAAGACCTTGGAATATTTGGCCAGGTAGGCTTGAAAGTTGATTATGGTTCAAATTCCTGGACAAGCACGAAATACAGTCAAGCCTCATTAGGAAGAACACTCATAAGGCAAACTTACCTTTAGTATGAATTAGGGCGAACTCCTGTACGGCGAACTTTCGTGAAGACGAACTAATTTCAGCGTGTAGTACGAACTTTCGGTCCCTGTGGGTGCGCTGGCTGTAGTTTTTTTCCGATAGTCGAGGCCTCTTGTACTGGCAAAACATGTTACAAGGCGGAGGACGTGCTGTCGTGAATACATTACACATTGTACTTACCTATTGCTGGGTTATGTTATGAAAATAATGTTTTACATTTGCACCAGCTTGCATCTTCACATAAATATATTCAAATGATATGCAGGAATGGAATCGGATTGTTTAGTAACTGGTGGTGTTAGTGGACATTATAGCGTAACTGTTTGCAGCACATCAGGAGGGGATCTTCACCAGGCAGAGCTACAGGGTTACACAACAATGCATCGGCAAAGGCAAAGGCGTTCTCCTTGCCAGGACGCCAGGAAGCGGTCAACTGGTATGCCTGGAGCTTCAGCAGGAGCCAGAGCAGGCGTGGCTTCTCAACTTGGTCGAGCGTATACGAGTTGAGAATGGGCACTAGTGGACGGTGGTCTGTGACAACTTGGAAAGACGGCTAGGTGCGGACAAACACCGGAACCTGGCCGTGAGTCGACGCTTGGACCACGTATTGTGCAATTTACGAAGCAGCACACCTCTCCAGGGCCCCGGAGTTGTTTTCGTACCAGCCCATAATCTTGAGGATGGCTCGGAAATTTAGGTTCCAGGCTGTGTATGAGTACGATCAATCGCTCCGCTCACTCCTGGCTGCGGACCCAACCATGAGGTGGGACCCTATAGTCTAAGATGTCTACATGACAATCTTTGACGCGCTGGCATTTCGTTCCTTTCGGCCCGACAGCTACGACTCCGTCGACACGGAAATCTGCCGCGTTCAATCTAGGGAAATGCTACAGTCCCTGAGCTCTCCTCTCTAAAGCTGACACGAAGTATGCCTTTCGGCTTTGCCCTGTTTCCCCTCATGTCTGGCCCCGGCTTGGCATTTTTGAGAAGGTTCATACCATGTAGATAACGTTAAGGCACCACCATTTGGCCTTAGATCCTCCCCCTTCTGTTTAACAGACCGGCTGATGCAGACTCTCAGCTCAACGACGACTCTGCAATGATCCTGCTAATTCTCTTACTCGTCTTCGAGTACTGTGCTTCCGGACTCTCAGCCCATCTACCGACGCAGTGCTGACACACCCAGCACAGGCCACCCTCCAGCAGTTGCCGACGCAACCATGGACCTCATCCGCCAGGGCCTGGCGGACAGCTCCAGCATGACATGCACTTTGCTGCCTCGCTCCGAACGCTTGTCGCCCTGCGCCAGGGCAAGCCACACTCAGGGACTGATCAGTGCCAGCAGCATTGTTCCAGATCCTGTACTTTGAGCGCATTGCCCACTATGCTAATGGGCAGCTGCATTGAACGACACTCACATAAATTGCAGTATAATATTAGTGCAGATAAATACTGTTTGGGTCCGGCTGTCAGCGCTGCCGGTCTCGCAGCCCAACTGGCGAAGTGGTGCCGACACAAGCATGAAATGCGGTTCGCTGCAGCGCTCCGAAAGCTTGTCGCCCACGCCAGGGCAAGCCACACTCAGGGACTGATCTGTGCCAGCAGCTTTGTTCCAGATCCTGTACTTCGAGCGCATTGCCCACTACGCTAATGGGCAGCCGCATTGGACGGCACTCACATCAATAATTGTAGTGTATAGTAATGCAGATAAATCCTGCTTGGGTCAGGTTGTCGGCGCTTCCGGACTCGCAGCCCAACTGCCAACGCAGTGCCGACACAACCGGCGCAGTCCACCCTTCAGCAGTTGACGACGCAACCACGGACCGCATCCACCAGTGCCTGGCGGACAGCTCCAGCACGTCATACTCTTCGCTGCAGCGCTCCGGACGCTTGTCGACCTGCTCTAGGGCAAGCCACACCCAGTGACTGATCAGTGCCAACAGCATTGTTCCAGATCCTGTATTTTGAGCGCATTGCCCAGGGTAAGGAAGCTTTTATTCGTTTCGATTGGTCTGCTGTTCCGTCGTTATGCTTGAATTTTTTTCTATTTCCAAGGAGCGTATCGCGTTTGATTGATGTTGCTTGAATGAATGCCCTAAAAGTAATCAACGACTTTGTAATAGTTGCGTGACAATAATATCAGTCCTCAAGGACTGCAAGAACTTTGCATCAATCGTATACCATGTATACGATCGTCAAGCTATCATCAATTGTATACCATGTATACGATCGTCAAGCTATCATCAATTCTATTTCATGAGACATGTATTTTTATCCCTGTGATAATTATGGGAACTCCACGACACTCTTCCTCTAGTATGATGTCAAATACAGTGGGATCCACAAACGCAGTGCCAGTGTACTAGCAGTAGTACTTCACTAGTACTAGTAGTAGGAGGATTGATTGTATGCCGATGACAAGAAAAAGCTTCTCAAGCTTCTCAAGCTGTTGTGTGCACAAACGATCTTATTCCTCGTACAGGTGAAATCCTGGACCGATTTCTGTCAATACGATTCCCACGTAAAAATTTCTGATAATTTGAACCTCAAACAGAACATGTCCGGTTAATTCGAAGTTCCACGGATTCCACTAAATAGAAAATGTGTGGGACTTGTGCTGATATTTCGAAGTTAGCAAAGTGTAATTCGAAGTTCACTGTAGACTGTACTGGTCAGTTCAGTTTGCATGAGCAGGCTGTGCTAGCCAGTTCAGTATCCGTTAAATCTGTGTCTAAGGTCCATAGTGCAACTCTGCGTGACCATGAGAGCATTTTGACATACAAATTGTGTTGTGGGTTCATGTTGGATAATTGGAATGTCCGGATATTTAGAAGCTTTTTCCTGGCATTTGGAGGTTCGAATTACCAGGATTCCACCTGTATTACTAATAGATTATTGTCCCCACCGTCACCTGTTTACAGGTCTTTGAGTGGATGGATTTTCATTGAGCATCACATTCGTTGAGAATTGGGTACTTCAAAAAAAAGAGTAGTTGTGTGCTCCCATTCATCATTACGGTAATAAGCGTATCCTTGTCCTATCTATTTGTTGCAGGTGTGCTGATCTTCAGAAGCTTGCGGAATTGAGTGCTGCTGAACATTGGCATGGCCATGATCAATGGTGATGCTTGCACTCTCAGCATGTGCTAGTATTATGCTGACTGCTGCACTTTGTAACTCTCTTACACTAATACATGTATGTAAACGTGCGTGCACCCGTCCACGTATGCATTCGTTTCGTATATTTATTTGTTATCCCTCTTGACTTTACTTGTCTGGTCACTGAGAGCCAGGGATGCGACACATGCATTCCCCCGATACACTTCGCATACATGTACGTACTCATTCTCTTGATGGTACGGTACTCTTGATGGTACGGGACAGATACGGGATAACGCCAGGCATGCCAATGGCACAAACAAACAAATAGATAAACATCAAATTAAAGCTGCGTGGACCCTTGCTAGCGCCAAACGTTACTGAAGTAACGTCTTCTGCATAGCTACGGGAATAAAAAATACTATGGAGCAGTGTATTGTATGTTTGTTGTGGTTGGTACTATAATCTGGGGATAGGCAGTGAAATGAAAGAAAAATTAGAATTGAGCACACCAGTACGATCACAAAAGTTTATGTTGATGGCGGTCATAGCTGCTGAGTGGTTGACGCACATGGTAACAGTAGTAACGTCCTTTTATAACCATGGCAATTCTCTACCGTGAAAGCACAAGCATAAAGAATGCTTTTAAACTCTCCGCATGCCCTGCCTAGCATTATACAGAAACCACAGGTGTTGTCATCTTGATCCCAGCAGATCTTTAATTAACAAGTGTTGTACGATTTCGTGCAATGTACCATTATGATAATGCAACTTACAAGATACTAAGTGCTGAAAGACCTTGGAATATTTGGCCAGGTAGGCTTGAAAGTTGATTATTGCCCAAAAACCTGGACAAACACGAAATACAGTCAAGCCTCATTAGGAAGAACACTCATAAGGCAAACTTACCTTTAGTATGAATTAGGGCTAATCCTACGGTTGGCAGGCATCATATCAAGTCAAAAAAATTTAAGACGAACTCCTGTACGGCGAACTTTCGTGAAGACGAACTAATTTCAGCGTGTAGTACGAACTTTCGGTCCCTGTGGGTGCGCTGGCTGTAGTTTTTTCCGATAGTCGAGGCCTCTTGTACTGGCAAAACATGTTACAAGGCGGAGGACATGCTGTCGTGAATACATTACACATTGTACTTACCTATTGCTGGGTTATGTTATGAAAATAATGTTTTACATTTGCACCAGCTTGCATCTTCACATAAATATATTTAAATGATATGCAGGAATGGACTCGGATTGTTTAGTAACTGGTGGTGTTAGTGGACATTATAGCGTAACTGTTTTCGCGCGGCCATGACATTTGGTGCTGTGACCAGGATCCAAGTTGTGTCTTGCTGTTGCTCTGGCAGAGTAGTCGTTACTCGGTATGCACTGGTCCATGCTGAGCTCTGAGCTCTTGATTACTCGAGCACGCAGAGGTGTGAATTTCATGTTGATTTCTCAAGTGGATTCGGAAGCGAAATGCTTTGTTCTATCTGGCCTTGGTTGGTTCAGTGAACACTCTGTCTGAGTGCATGCACATGGAACGTAAACTCATTCTGTTTTTACCTCTTGCTATCTGTTGGCGTGCCATCTACTTGCTCCGGAAGACCTGGCGAAAGTCGGTCATGCCGCTGGGGAGTGCTGCTGTTCTTTGAAACATTGATGGTTCAAAACCCAGTCAAGAGGACTATGTCCTTGTCGTGTGACGGAGTCACGAAGCCAGATTTCGAAACTGGGCGCACCAATTGAGATGCTGGCTGAAACAATGGTGCAGTAACAAGTTATTATTTCTGCAGGGAGCTTGAACAACTGCTGATTTGAGTTCGTTGATGCGGATCTCGAATGTTTTGATTGGAGTGTGATGGAAATCAATAGTGAGGTGATGCCCACCTGAAACCAGCACTTTTGTGTTGGCCGATGCCTGTTTCATGTCGGATCTGTCAACGTCCGCACCCTAAGGTGTTCGTCACGTACTGAGTATGATGCTGGTTACTGGTTCTGACATTGGACGCGAACTGCTGTCCCAATTCCTTGCGAGATCACTTCAGGTGATGGAGCACTGCATTTTTAAAGCTTCTAAAGCTGCCGTCGTTCCGCCGAGCCATGATGGTGATGGCAAACTAGAGCACATTCTTCGATTGCGGAGACGTGAAGTGATAACTCCATTTTCAGAGGTGACGGTCAACGCCATGCTAGACAAGTCGGAAGGGTTGCCGACCTGCGCCTTGACGATACCTGATGGGTGTTTTCAAAGGATAAATGATGTGATGATGGCGCGTGCGCTAGTGAGCCCTACGGTGGATGTTCCAATTCGGGTGTTGATTTGCTCTGACGACGCAGTGACTCTAGAGAGGGCAATGCTGATTGGTCGGTTGGAACCATTATCTGACGTCATGATTATCGTGATCGAAGACACTATGGCCGATGGCCAGAGAGAAGAATCAGCTCAAGTAGCTGAGACAGAGGACTCCCTCGGGGGGGGGGGGGGTCTGGAAGCAGTTGCGCATTGGCGCAGATTGTCCCGCTCTAACCCCCCGCAGAGGTAGGGACGAGCTGGTCTCAGTCCAGAAGCCCACAGAGGCGGTCGGAGGATCCTCCGGCAGTGGTAGGGAGGAGCTGGACTCGGTCCAGAGGCCCACAATGGGTGGTTGGAAGATGCTCTCGCAGTGGTAGGGACGAGCTGGTCTCAGTCCAGAAGCCCACAGAGGCGGTTGGAGGACGCTCCCTCAGTGGTAGGGACGAGCTGGAAACGGTCCAGAGGCCCACAGATACGGTTGGAGGTTACTCCCGTAGTGGTAGTGTTGTACATGTGGCTGCGCTTGTGTCTCTTCGTTGTACATGCGGTTGCACGTGTAGCTCTTTGTCGTACATGTGGCTGCTTTTGTGTCTCTTTGTTGTACATGCTGCTGAGTCGTGGTACATGCTGCTGCGCTGTTTTTGACTCCTGGGTACATGCGGCTGCACCGTCTTCTGTCCCCGTTGGTACACACTTGCTTGTCTTGTCCCCGTTGTACGCCTTCACTATGATATATTCTGTTGTCTCGTCTTGTCTCCGTGTCAGTCGTCAGTCGTTCGTTGTCAGTGTTGGTTCTTCTTTATGAGTTCCCCAGTCGCCTACTGAAATGAAGTAGAAGAAAAAGATCTCTAACAATTTGTACTGGTCCTTTGTTGTGTGGCGTGGCGAGGAGCGTGGAGGCAGTTCGTTCACGGTTCTCAAACCCGTGAGGACATTTGGCGCCCTCCAAATCGTATCCACGACCCTGAGTTCGTCTCCATATCAGCTGTGTTTTCGTCTCCTCTTCGTGTTCTCGCCATGGCCCAGTTACTTGAGTCTCACACACGTCCAAGCCTCTCATGAGAGCGCCTACTCAGGTGAGAATGCCTTTGTAATTGTCTACTCTGCGTTATGTGTTGCCGTAACTTGTATTCGATTTCGAATTTTTTCAAATTGTTTTGCGTTGGGTGACTCTGGTCCCGGCAGGAGGTCCGTGGAACCTTGTTCTCTTGTGCTCGAGTGTGTAGTGTAGTCTAGCTGCTCGTTGTAAGTTCGCCCCGTTGTGTTCGTTGTTCCTGTGTCGCTCTGACTAGTAGATCGACTACCCTGTACTGTACGGTTGTGTGTATGAAAATTTCAAACTTCTGTTCGTGTGCTTCGCGTTCGAATCTCGAACTTGTTTTTGCTTGCTCGTCGTGAATTCAGCATGGGTAGCTTTGATCTCATCTTGTGTTGTGCACTTGTGCTTGTCACGGAGTTGCCGTCGGACTGCTCCGATATTGTGACTGTGTCGCGTGTTTTGTTTGGATGTCCACCTGAACGTTCTCGAGGTGCTGCCTCGTTTGTAGTCGATCCATATTTTGTTTCGTGTTTCTACTGTTTCACTAGTACAGTTCTACTAGTAGTAGTAGTAGTTTCTCCATGTTCCGTGCAGAGCGTTGTCAGGCTCGGTCATGCACTGTGCACCCAGTCGGAAAGCTGGTGGCTTCCGGTTTGGTGGGAGGTGTGAACTTCATGTAGGATTCTCGTTTCGGATCCAGGTTGAATTTTTTTGTGAGCGTATGGTTTTGTAATAATTGTGTTTCGGCATGTGGGTCTCTCTAGTTCGTTTGGGTGGGCGTCTGATCATGGTGAGCCACGGTCTGCCTGGTGGTCTGCATGGATCCTGTGTTTTGTTGTATCGGTTTGCCTTGCGGGTGTTATGGTTTCCGCGTGTTGCTGGTTGGCCCTTGCGCGCCCCAGTCGGTCCCTGACAGTTTTTGTCTCGGTTTTTTGGTTTTGCGAAGCGGATGTAGTTCCGTGTTTTTCAGGTTCAATCCCTGTGGTTTTTTCAGGTTCAATCCCTGTGGTTTTTTCAGGTTCAATCCCTGTGGTTTTTTTCAGGTTAGAGACCTGTGGGTTTTTCAGGGTAGCGCCCTGTGGTTTTTCTTCATTATCTTTTGCGTATTGGTAACCGATTTGTTTGTGTGTCCTCAATGGTGTCCTCACTGATTAATTGCTCCTGTTTCAGTCGACGTGTTCTTCCTGGCTGTTCTTCCCTTCCTTCGTGTGCTTTTCTGATTTTGGCGATGGCTGAGATGTTTGCGTCAGTCCGTGTTTCTTTCTGTGTGTGTCTTTCTGTCTCTGTGAGCTCTCGTAGCCCCATCGGCTGCGTGATGGTTTGCTGCGTGATGGTTTTCCGGACAACTCCTGTGCTTCCAGATGCCTGGTCACCCGGTTCAGCTGCCGCGGTCTTCGCAGTGCCATCGGTTTGCCTTGGCTTCGTACCAGGGCCACGTGGTTACTTCCTGGCGGCCCACGCCTGAAAGTATGGCGGTTCCCTCTATGGGTGGGCCCGGTCTGTTTTCTTTTCACACATTTGTGCCTTGGCTTTTTGGTCCGGAGTTACGTCTCTTACTGTTTTGGCCCTGCATGTTTTGTTTCTATTCTCCTCTGTATTGTGTTCACATTTGATTTCTTTTTCTCCTGTCTTTCTTCTAATTTTGTTTTGATTGCTTCCATCCACAGGAGTGGATGTCTTTTTTTTGATGGGGGATAGTGTTGTACATGTGGCTGCGCTTGTGTCTCTTCGTTGTACATGCGGTTGCACGTGTAGCTCTTTGTCGTACATGTGGCTGCTTTTGTGTCTCTTTGTTGTACATGCTGCTGAGTCGTGGTACATGCTGCTGCGCTGTTTTTGACTCCTGGGTACATGCGGCTGCACCGTCTTCTGTCCCCGTTGGTACACACTTGCTTGTCTTGTCCCCGTTGTACGCCTTCACTATGATATATTCTGTTGTCTCGTCTTGTCTCCGTGTCAGTCGTCAGTCGTTCGTTGTCAGTGTTGGTTCTTCTTTATGAGTTCCCCAGTCGCCTACTGAAATGAAGTAGAAGAAAAAGATCTCTAACAATTTGTACTGGTCCTTTGTTGTGTGGCGTGGCGAGGAGCGTGGAGGCAGTTCGTTCACGGTTCTCAAACCCGTGACGACAGTAGGGACGAGCTGGTTTCGGTCCAGGAGCCCACAGCGGCGGTTGGAGGTAGAGACGGTAATGAGACATCTCTGAGACAATCTAGTATCTTCCGCGAGGAGATCCACTGCTTCCAAGCCTTAGTGCTTCGGTACCGAGATGCGTTCGCTTTGAACTCATCTGAGCTTTGTCGCACTTCGGTGCCACACCACAAGATTGAGACACATGATCATGACCCTGTTGCACAGGCTGCTAGGCGTATGCTATGGAACTCTCGTGAAACTGCTCGCGAGCTTGTTGAAGATATGGAACAACAGAGGCTGGTGGAAGATGTTGCTGGTCCTTGGTCGTCGCATATTGTACTTGTCGAAAGACGGTCAGTTTGACACGATTTAGTGTTGACTACAGGAAGCTTAATGCTGTGACAGAGCGGGACCTGTTTCCCCTCCTGAAAATTGAAGAGACGCTTAGCGCTCTGTACGATGCAAACATGTTGCACCCTAGACCTGTGATCAGGTTGTTACTATGCCTTTGGCAGTTGCACGATGGTCATTGTCAGTTCATGTTATGCCATTCGGAATGCGCAATGGGCACAGCTCATATTCAATGGCTCATGAGTTCAACACTCAAGGACCATCAGCGGCGTATCTGCTTTCTAGTGTATCTAGAATTGAATCACTGTTTCAGCGTTCATTGATGAACATCTGGAATGTTGGGATGCTGTACTCGGCGAGTTGGTTGCAAAACTGTACTGTACTACCACAGAACTGTGCTACAGTGTGGGTGGCTTGTGTCTGTCCTTGTTGGCAGCAATGAACCTACCGTGGAAGTCTTGGCGAGGTCGCCAAGGTCTTTTGTAAAGGGTGGAGTGTGGGTGGAACCGATTTGTTGGACACCACCAAGTCTATGAAATGGCTCCTGGAGCTCTGCGGCAGTTTTGTACTGAACCTGATACCTACGTGGTAGAGGGGTGTATCTACCACATGTTATGGCCTATGGTCTACCTCCATCTGAGATGGATCGAAATGGCGAACTGTCATACCTATACGCTCTGCGTGAGTGATTGGCAAACGTGCATTCAGTTGTACGTGATAAGCTGCATGCTGTTTATCAGCACCAGGCTCATCTCTACGATAGTAGAGCAGTACCAGTTTCATTTGAAGTTGGATTTTTTTCGATGGAAATGTCCCTCCTGTGGAGCCACATTTTGTACTCTATGCTCGTATCTGTTGCGGTACAGAACCAGTTGGCTTGACTAACGAGAGCTAGGCGGTTACCGTCACGACTCGCTGACTTTAATGTTAGTTGAGATCACAGGGACGTGATTCTTGAGTATGTTGTGAACTACCCTGTCTGCACTGCCCAACATGCAACACTCACAGCCCACTCGACATTGGACTAATTACTTGCTTTTGCACAAAAGAACTAAAACTAAAAGAGCTAGAGAAAAAGAATAAAGGCTCGCGCACCAAGATGCCACGGACAAAATGGCGATCTACGTCATCGTGTGCACGCACGATAATACTGGAAAAAGGAAGAACGTCACGAACAAAGCGTGAATAAATGAAGTTCAACAGTAATAATACGTAGTGATCAATAGTAAATAGTACGTTAGATGTCACGAAAGGAATAGAGATAGAGAGAGAGATGAGGTGGCGTCGACAGTTACTAGTCAATCTATTACACCTCTCCCTCCAGACGCCACTACTCAGGGACAATATCGCATTGGGCGTCCACAGCTAGCTGGGGCATGGAGATCATAGCGTGGGACTGAATCACTGTCTCCGCCGTCAAATTCCAGGCCAACGGCTCCGCCATCACTTGCGTAACTCTCCCTATCACTCTCGGTAGGGTTCGGCTGTGCGCTGTGGCCCTCCTCAGAATCCGGTATTACAGGAGCTGAGTCTAGCTTCAGCAGGTCAATTATGTTGACCACTTTCTTTGCACCATTGGCATAACTGATCACGACAGTAGATGGAGAAACAATCTTCTCCACCTTCCGGCCAGGCTCAAATGGTGGGAACAACTTCTGGTGATGCGCGGGGCATCGGAACAAACCTGTATCACCGGGAACGTAGGGTGATTGGGTGCTGGTGGATGGTTGTGGAGGGCTCGATACAGACAACTCTGTCTCCACAACATCGCGTACACGGGCAGCCGATTTATTAAGGTTCTCAACCCATTCGCTCGGCACAAGGACCTCTGGGCGCTCTTCCACACCCACTGATTGGGGCTTCCAGCCACATATCGCGAGCATAGGTGACACTGTCGTCGTGGAATGCGGCCGGGATCGGTAGTAGAACAGCAGGAGATCCAGCTCCTTCTTCCAGTGCGACGCCTGATCTAGCACTTACCACATCAGCGTTATGAGAGTGCGATTCATGCGCTCCATGCCGCCTTGCGACTGTGGGTGGCGAACTGCTCCAGTCTTCACGCGCACGCCAAACTGGGTGAAGAGGGACCGGACAACAGCATTCTGGAACTCGGTCTCGGTGTCCATTTGGATTTGATCGGGCAGACCCCACCGGCAGCACATACTAGTCAGCGCTCCTGCAACGCTTGCAGCATCGTGTCGCCGTAGTGGCTTCACCTCGACCCACTTGCTAAATACATCAGTGCACACGAGTACACAGTGGTACTGTCTGCTGCGGTCGGCGCCAAGCTCCAGTGTATCCACTTGCAGCACACTCCAAGGGCGACTGGGGATCTCAGGGGGAGTAAGTGGCACCGTCGCCCCACCACGTCCATTCGCTGCACAGCACGCTTGACATTTACGGCAACATTCTTGGCAGCGCGAGTTTATAAGGGAAAGTAGCAGATGCCGCGCAACATCTCGTACATCACTGTCCAGCTACCGTGCCCGGACATTCGATGCGCTTCTTCCACTTCACGTGGTATCAGAGATTCTGGGATGATCGGCACGGTCACATTCCCGAGTGCCGGGAGCCTGAAGCTGCGAGATAACACTCCGTCATCCAGAACAAGCTGGTCTCTGATCTTGCTGAATGGCTTTACCTCGACTCGTTTGCCTAGCTGGACAGTCGACAGTACAGGCATCAGCTGGGGAGATGCTCTCTGGGCATGCTGTACTTCATCGCGCTTGACAGCTAGTCTCGCTGCCTCATCAACTGTGCTATCGACGGGGGCGGCAATCTCAGCAGTTGTATCGGGTCTGCACCATTTTAGCCCAGTGCACCGGAACACGAGTCAGTTGGTCAGCCAGGTTCTTCTCAGTGGGCGTCCACTCAACACGCACCTTCAGGCGTGCGGCCTCCATCAGGTCAGTTGCCACTTGTTACCGACGTTCAATGAGCACCTTGTGCAGGCCTCCTACGCGAACACGGCACGCATTCTCGGCAACTTGACCAAGCCATCCAAATACAGCCTTGGAGTCAGTAATGAGCCGCACTGATTCCAGGCCCCACTCAACAGCCAGTGACAGACCACGCATCGCCACGTCGAGTTCTGCGACGTTGATGCATTTCCTGTCGTCTGCATCACGTAGCCACGTGCCATCCCCAACGATGTCTCCATTGTGTTTCAGCACAATGCCAGTCGCCAGGTCAGACGCGTCGCAGTAGACTGCCCAGTCGCCGCCAGATGTTGACGGCACACGCCAAACTCCACGTGCAGAGTCACCACGTGCCAGACGCTCAACTACTTCGCCGGCACACCGTACAATGCCTTGCGGAACCGGATCGTCCCAGCCAGTAGCTGTGCTTGCCATATGCTTCAAGTACGAGCAGGCGGGTCGCAGCCCGGCGCCTACTGGGTAGTGACTGGTCAGTCGTCCGGTCCACTGGAGGACGCCTCGCTTCGTCAGGGGACGCTCAAATGCAAGATCTACGCAATCTCGCCTCGACCATCGGGTGTCGTCGCTGTTTGCAGATGTCGACAGCTGCAGGCCCAGCACTCGTGCAGTAGACGGCGGCTCTGGTGGCTTTGTGAGAAGACTGTAGCGCTCCAGTTCAGCAGCTACTGCTTCTCGCGTCGATGCTGGCGTCAGTACATCGTCAACATAATTGTCCACTTCAGGCCAAGGCCGTGTAACCCATCGCACGATTATGTCATTTGTCTGATTCTTACCTGAAGTATTTCATTCTGAATGGCAGCACTAGTGTACTTGTCAGTCCGACGGTTCAGCCAGCGCACAAGACTCTCATCATTGTCCGACAGTAGAGCCAGAACCTGCAGAAAATTACCGTCACACTCTCCACCTCCCGACCTGGAGCTTCCACGCAAAGCGAGTCCCTGTCGTGCGAGAAAGCGCACGGAGCGGAGCACTTGCAGCAGACAAGCACAATTCTCCTTCCGCTGGGCAGTAAACTGGGAGTCCAAGCGCTCACCAACATCGCAGACATTTTCCGGGATTGTCAGCAGGCGATCGACCGCTTCCTTGTGGCAGCGTGACTTGGCATGTTTCGACATCACGCGCCTTGCCTCCTTCTAATTCTGAAAGCCTGTTGTCAAGAAGGCTTGCTTAACGATTTGACTTCGCAAACTGTGTACATAGATCTACGGCGTGCTCCCTGTGGTGTGACTGTGAGGTGCTAGCAAAGTACTAGTACTCGTGGATGTACTCTATTCTTGCAACACTTCGTTGTGCTATGAGGTGTGACATGTCACTGGTCACATCCGGCCTACGAACAAGGCGCGATCTGCCTTGTTTAGCATACCGAAGTGTACGATCTGGACATATGGGCGAGTGCTGTGACCATCTTCTCACTGTACGAGTACACTGCTAGAGTGTAGTACACATGTACAGGAATACCGTGCTTCGTGCCGTGACTTTTTAGAGCGACTTTTAGTTGTAGTTACGATGTTTTGACTTTTGTACAAGTCCGAAGATCCTTGAATTTTTTTATCGCTTTTTTTGGATGAATTGGGTGGACAATCCTGGACGAAAAGTGGTACGACCATTGACGTAGTGGTCGTACCGTGTGTGACGCCCCTGTGTTGTTCTGTGTGAGCTAGCTAACTTGAATGGCGGCTATATTGGTTGTCTACCTGGGTAGCCACTAGACTGATCTAAGCCAAGTCACAAACCCGCCAACGCGCGGCCATGACACATCTGGTTCTGCTCGGTGGAACGCATGCCCGAAATGGTACCAAGTCCCTCTGATTCCCACACATGACAACGAGGCAACTAAAAGGCTACAAAACTAAAGGATCACAAATGTTCACTGCGTCATGTGATGTTACTGCTAGTATTCTTTCCAACGAAGACAAGTCCTGGCACAAGAAGTAGAGTATATTTACAACAAGATAAAACAAAACAATGAAGAGTGCCAAGGGGTTTCTTGTCTCCTGACTACTGCGGAGTCCTTGGTGTACACACGCATGGAGAAGTCCTAGTATGCATACAGTCACTTGAGTATAATACATATCAGGGTCTGTAATGCTGCTGCTCAGCCTTTTTGCCGTGTCTTCTTCTATGATGTTCTCAATGCGAGCGATACATTGTCAGGCCAAGTTTTAATTTTGTCTCGGGTATTTGAGCGTGTGCGTCCAGCAGGCCTTCATTTCAATTCGGCGAAATGTTCCTTTTTTCCGGTCGGATGTCGTGTTCCTTGGGCACCGCGTGTCGCCAGACGGAATTGCCCCCGATCCGGACAAGGTTTCCGTGATTCTTGCGTGGAAGATGCCGAAGTCCGTCACTGCGGTCAGGTCATTCCTTGGTTTCGCGGGATATTACCGCAGATCCATCAGTGGGTTTTCGCAGCAGTCAGCCCCAATGACGGCTCTCACTGGCAAGAATGCGCAATTTGTTTGGACGAAAGCTTGCGACGCTTCCTTCCGAGTGCTGAAGTCTGTGCTATCGAGTGCTCCGGTTATGGCATTCCTGGACTTCGGACCAGATGCCGGTCCCTTCCTTCTGGACATAGATGCCTCTAAAGTGTCCATTGGTGGTGTCCTGAGCCAGGTACAGGACCAGGTGGAACGTCCCATTGCTTTTGGTGGCCGAATACTGACAAAGGTGGAGCGTAACTATGATGCCAGTGACTGCGAAGCCCTGGCCCTTGTCTTTGTCGCCAACCACTTCCGGCTCTACCTGCTTGGTCGTTAATTCACTGCGCGAACAGATAATTCTCCATTAATTCCATTGCGGGCAACCAAGGAGCCCCGTGGTCGGAAAGCTCGAGGGATAGAGGCTTTGGGGGAGTTCGTGTTTGCTGTTGTGCACCGCCCTGAATCGCGCCACAGGAATGCTGATGCCATGTCCCTTGTGGTGACCGATGTGCCGTCTCCTCCGCCGAGTCTGCCGCCTCTTGCCCGTGATGTTTCTCTGTCTGCTGCTGCTGAAGTGCCACTTGCTGCTGATGTTCCTCCGGCTGCTGAGATTGTTCCTCCGGCCGTTTTTGTTCGTCCCCCTGGTGCCTCGGCCGCTGGGCCATCGGCTGATTGTTTTCCGCCTCTGAGTCTTCTTGCTCCATCTGATTCTGCTCTGGCTGAGGGTTTCTTCAGTTATGATGCTGCCAGGGGCAATTTTGTTCGTCCGCATGAAGCCGTATCCCGTCCTCCTGACTGTCAACCACCCGCCGTTACTGCTTCTCGTCCTGACCCATTGCCGCTGTCCGATGATGATTTGCCACACTGCTCTCCGCCGCTACAGCCGTGGTCTTCTGATCTGGTTAGTACTTCTTCTCCTGTTCCTCGTCATTCCGGCCGTGTTCGCACTGCACCTGCTCGACTAGCTGACTATGTCTTGGACTGAGTTTATTATTTGGTTTGTTATCTTTTGTTTGTTTCCTAGATATTTCGTTCATTCCTGTGGACGTGAATAATAATAATATGAACAGGTCGCATATTGCCCGCATAAACAAATCATACGGGGGTCACGCATCTGTCAATGATCGTTAAAATCGGTTGTGGAGACAAACGCGATTAGGCCAGCTGCAGGGACGCCGTAATGTCGCACTCGCCCCAGCACCATTCAAACAATTCCCTTTGGCAGTTCACGGCACGAACTTCAACAAAGCCCCGTGAATGCGTACTAGGGGAAGGCTAGACAGCATGTCTCTGGACATCAATAGGCATCGTATGAAAAGCCAGTCAATAGCACTAAAGAGCGAAAGCCTTTGTCACGGTTCGGTTTCACTCACGCACCGGGCCCGAGCTGCCAGCGCAAACAAATGCCGGGCGCGAGCTGGCAGCACAAACAAACACCGTACTCACACGAGACCGTTGGGCCAACGGATGTCCACAGCCATCAAAAACAGGAACAAACCCATCCACGGCTCTTTTTCTCGCTAGCTGTGCTGCTGCGTGCATCCAACTGTTTTGCAATTTCTTTCTTCCTTGTTGCAATTACTCGGCGAGATTTGAAATTTCTAAAGTTCCACAGTCGTAGGAGATCCTGAGCCGTCACCATGAGCTCCGTGCCATCACTTTCCGATCTCCGCCAACTCAAAGTCGACGGAGTTGAAACTCGACTGCGAGAACTGGGGCTTTCTTGCTCAGGCAATTTTAGAGCCCAGGTGAGCCGTCTGCATGAGCATTTGTCGGCCCAGGCAAGAAACAAAGCTAATTCTACGAGCCAGGTCGCAAAAAAGACCACGCGTCGGCG